TCCCTGTTATTCTGATTTCCTTGGTTCCATGGAAGGAAATCCCAAAGCCTGGGCACACCATGTCCTTAATCCACCAAAGGTTTGCTCCTGTGTGATCACTGAGCAGTGAAGGCCTGGCTTTGGGCTCTCAGGGTTTTCTTTTGGGGAATAAATTCTAAGCTCAGAATTTAGAAGGAACAACCCAGAATCTCTTTTTGAAGCCAAAAGCAGTCAGCGCAGTGGTCAGACACACACTGATGTGTATTTTTTGTTGTATTATTGTAATTTAACCCCTGTTTTTTGTTGAGTTACTTAGTCTGTTCCACAGACACAGGAGGTACTGTCCTGCTCTAGGAGACAGGCAGCAGAAAGGCTCCAGAGGGGAAGAGAGGTGGATTTCCTAAGGAAAGAGAGGGAGGGATCTTTAAGGGTCCGGTGATCAGGGTAGGCTAGGACAGCTCTGAAATTCAAACCTCTGCCCAACCCTCCTAAAGAGAGCCATCAGGATGCTATTTTATTTGGAGCTTAAAAATAGCACATGGTACAAGCAGTTGTTATGGATCTGCCTGTCATCAGGACATGGGATTTCCCCTTACCGGCTCCAGCCCTGGAAAGGTACCCAGGATTGGGAGGCTGGAGAGGGGGTGGGCAGAGGGTGCAGCTTAACCCTGCCTGGATGGGGTGTGCCCCCTCCCACACCTCATGCCAAGGGCGTTTCCTCCCTCCAGTGACCAGACATGAGACACACCTATTTCAGTTTTAGTCACCGTGCTTTGATTTGCTTATCTGGCAAGCCAGTGTGTCATGTATTTTCATGATTTAGTAGCTCTGCAGCTCCCTCTGGGCAGATGGGTGACACAGAGCCCTCGGGGACATGCAGGAGCCTAGCTGTCAACGATGGGCCGGTGTCCCTCCCTGCCTGCTGCCCGGGTTAACTCCCAAAACACGCTGGAATGGTTTATCCCTGAAGAACGAGGCTGGATGTTCCTCCCATGGAACATCAACCCTCCGTGGCTGCTGTCACTGCATCAACCCAGTGTCACCTCAGCCACGGGAAATGGTTTCACTGAGGGCAGACAACAGAGGAGACAGTGCTGGTGGATGAGGGAACAGTGAGCCGTGTCACCCACCTGGACTTGCGTAAAGTGTTGGACACTGTCCCACACTCCATCCTTGTCCCCAGACTGGGGAGACAGGGATTTCCCGGGTGGAGCACTCGGTGGGTGAGGAAGGGGCTGATGGACACTCAGCTGTGGTCGCTGGCTCGGTGTCCGAGTGCAGAGCAGTGACAAGAGGGACACTCAGGGTCGGGAGTTCCAGGGCCTGAAGGGGCTCCAGCAGAGCTGGAGAGGCACTGGGGACAAGGCAGGGAGGGACAGGACACAGGGAATGCCTTTAGCTGAAGGAAGGTACATTTAGATTTTTATTAAGAGGAAATTCCTCCCTGGGAGGGTGGGCAGGCCCTGGCACAGGTGCCCAGAGCAGCTGTAGCTGGCCCTGGATCCCAGGCCAGGCTGGATGGGGCTTGGAGCACCTGGGACAGTGGAGGTGTCCCTGCCCATGGCAGAGGCTGGCACCGGATGATCCTTAAGGTCAGTTCCAACCCAAGCCAGTCTGCGATTCTGTGACTGTAAAAACACATCCCTTCATCCCTCACCGTCCTGCTGGCTACACGTCATCCCTTTATCCTCCTGCTCTCCTCCTGCATGCACAGAGGGCTGCCTTTCTGGGCCAGAAGGGCCATGGAGGATTATGAGCAGCAGCACGAGTGGTCCCCGCTGTTCGGCCACCTGGAGGGGCGGCTGGGCGCTCCATCTGTCCCTGGGCCCTGCTTTGTCACCAGGCTCCTTCGGCTCCTTCACAGCCACGAGTGCTGTGCCGCCCAGGCGTGCGCACGCTCCCAGGGCTTCTTCTCCCTCTTTAAATATCGCCCTTTCCTGCCCCACAGCATGCTTCCCATGGGATCGCCTTCACGCCCTCAGCCTTGTCCCTCCAGCCTGCTCCCCTCAGCTCCTCTGTCTCCTCAGCTCCTCTGTCCCCTCAGCACCTCTGTCCCCTCAGCTCCCCTGTCTCCTCAGCTCCTCTGTCCCCTCAGCTCCCCTGTCCCCTCAGCTCCTCTGTCTCCTCAGCTCCTCTGTCTCCTCAGCTCCTCTGTCCCCTCAGCACCCCTGTCCCCTCAGCTCCCCTGTCCCCTCATCGCCTCTGTCCCCTCAGCGCCCCTGTCCCCTCAGCTCCCCTGTCCCCTCAGCTCCTCTGTCCCCTCAGCTCCTGTCTCCTCAGCTCCTCTGTCCCCTCAGCTCCTCTGTCCTCTCAGCTCCCCTGTCCCCTCAGCTCCTCTGTCCCCTCAGCTCCCCTGTCCCCTCAGCACCTCTGTCCCCTCAGCTCCACTGTCCCCTCAGCTCCTGTCCCCTCAGCTCCCCTGTCCCCTCAGCTCCTCTGTCCCCTCAGCTCCCCTGTCCCCTCAGCTCCTCTGACCCCCTCAGCTCCTCTGACCCCCTCAGCTCCCCTGTCCCCTCAGCTCCCCTATCCCCTCAGCCGCGTCCCCGCCCTCCATCGCCGCCCTTGGCCCCGCCCCCCGCTCTGGCCCCGCCCCCGTCCCCGCCCCGCGCCTCGCCCAACCGCGCTGCCCGTTCACCGCGGCGCCGCCTCCGCCCCGCGCGGCCGCGCGCCGCCCGCGCTGGCGCTGATTGGCCGCTGCCGGGCGCGGCGCGGCGCTGATTGGCCGGGCGGCGCGGGCCCCGCCCCCTCAGCCAGCAGGGTAGTGCGCTCGGCGCGCGGCCAGCGCGGCTCCGCTCCCCGCTCCTCCTCCCGCCGGGCCCGCAGGGGACAGCGACGCTCGCCAGGCGCCTCCGTCCCGGCGCCTCCGTCCCGGCGCTGCCCCGCGCCCCCGCCGCTCGGTAAGGCCGCGGGGAGGGGGCTGCGGCCGGGCACGGGGCGCGGGGACAGCGCGCTGCGGCTGCGGCGCTCCCCGACGCGGCCCGGGCCGGGCGGGGGCTCCGGCCTCGCCGGTGCCCGCGGCCGGGCCGGGAGGCGGCAGGGGCTGCGGGGCGCGGGAGCCGCGCAGGGAGCGCCCGCAGCATCCCCGAGCATCTCCCGGGGGAGCGGGCGGAGCGAGCGGGCGCTGCCGGGGCGCGGCTTTGTTGCCCGGGGGAGGCGGCCGGGCCGGGTCCGGGGGTCGGCCGGGGTGGAGGGGGGGTCCCGGGCGTTCCCCGGCCTTGCTCCCGCTGGGTCCCTTCGGCTCCCGCGGGGGTTTCGCTCAACGGCGGCGCGGCGGTTCCGCAGTTCTCCTCGGGACGGCGGGGAACTTTCCGTGCCCCGTCCTTGCCCGGCGCCGCGGCTCCGCTGCCGGCTTTATAAGGAGGGCGGCGGGCCGCGGCTGAGGATGAGCATGGGCAGAGCGCGGCTCGCAGCGCTGGGTGTGGCGGGCCGGGGATGCGCCGGGCTCCGGCCAGGCCTGTGCGCAGTCATCGCGGCCGAGCGGGCCCGCTTTCGGGATGAGCAAGCTTCTCTGCGGAGCTGGGCTGCGAGGGACAGCAATTAAACCCGTGCTCGCGGTGCGGGGCTGCTGGTAATAAGTTCAAGCTCGAGGCGGTGAAGTTTTGATGCTGTTCTGCTGCCAAAAGCCGCTTCGGAGTGTATCCTGGTAGTATGAGTGTTGTACGCGCTCCTTCTCTACGAGGGGTGTGTTAAAAGCTCTGTGAACATGCTGAATTTGGATGTTCAGGTCTCTTTTCTTTAGGTGGTTCTTGATCTCTCCTACTCGGTCGTTCCCTCTCGTATTTCCTTCTCCTGATTTCTGTATGGATTTAGTAGATTAGCCCATTGATTTTAGAGCTTTTAAAAAAGTTTTTATTTGTTTTTAAAGCTGGACTCATCCATTCAGTGAACCATGTTCTTCCCAGTTTACAATTCAAGCTGGAAGGCTTCTTGAATAATACAATAGGCGTCCAAGCCCTGCTCAGTGTTTCAGTGTGCAGTAACAAGCCTTGCTCGGGGCCTCCTCCTGCTCAGCGTGTGATGCTGCTGCAGCTTCATTTTGTAAACTCAACGGACAGGACTGCACTGGAGTTTTACAACTCTAAAGCTTCTTTTCTCCTTGCCAGGGCCTGATGTCCCATCTGGTATGTTTTGCTGGTATTGTATCTATAAGGTGCTATTGCAGCTTAACTCCTTTTATTTGAGAAAGAAAAATTGTAACTCAAAATTATTGACAATACAGTTATGACATTGGCTGGACAGACCTGTCTGTCAAATTGACTTTTTGTGGTTTTGTTTGGGTTTTTTTTGTGAGAAGCAAGGAAATTTCTGATTATCCTTCCAGATGCATTTTGTGGGATTCATGGGCTCTTTAAATTTTAAACTTTTTTATTCTTTTGTGCCTGCTTGCATCAGAAGAGATAGGCTTTTTCAGTTTGAAAAAGAGCTTAACTTACTTGCTGTTGCAACAGCAGCAATATCCTGTGTCTTTTGTTTTGTTTGGTAATAATTACATGTTAGTGACAAATAATAAGCTTGAAGGCAGAATAGCTGATCTGTTTGTGACTGTGATTGTTGACTCTGAAGCTGAAGGCCGTGGATATTATTAAATCTGTTTTTGTGTGTCTCTGCAGAAATGACATCAGGGAAAGATCAGATAATACAAAGAAGTGTCAGTGGTTTGGAGATGCCAGCCCGGGGAGTTCAGCTAGAGCCCGGTGTTGCCATGGGTACAGTTTGTGGGTCACCCTGGTTCCCCCCGAGCCCTCAGCTGATATTAGGAGAGGATTATGTCACTCCTGTCCTTAAGGAGCAAACGGGGAGGCTGCTGGAGGACTCTTATGGCAGCAGATCCTGACTTTATCAGCTTGCTCCTCCAAAGGCAGGGCTGTGCCAGGCGCTGTCCTGTGCTGCCCACTGATGCCAGGCAGTGGGGACACCGTGGGACACCAGGGCTCCTCTCTGCCAGCTGCAGCACCTCACCCTGACAGCAGACCTGGAAATCTGCTTTAGCAAGCTGCCTGATTTGTCTGTGGGGAGCTTTGAAGCTTGTGAGTGCTGTGGTAAGTGCTGAGTGCAGCCCTGTTTGGGTGAATAATCACACCAGGGGCTTGCAGACACTACTGGAGCCAACCTGGCCTTACTCTGGTAAGTGTCATTTACAGGTGGCAGTACTAATTCTGAACTATTTGGGTTCAGTTCAGTGTCTGTTCCCTCCCAGGTACACCAGGCAGTTTTAAGTCAAGGTTTTAAATAGCAGAGATTGCCCAGACTGTTCTGTGATGTTATCAAACACCCCCACGCCTCCAGCAGCCCGAGCAGCAGTGAGAACAGAAGCAAATTGGGGTTTTGGAGGGGCAGAAGGTGAGGCTGAGTGGAGGCTGGGGAAGGACTGGATTTCCAGCTTTAAGCTTGTTATGTGCAGTCTGAGGAGTGCTCAGTTGAAGCAGATGAATTACGTATTCCTGCTGGTAAAAGGGCTGACACAGCTGTAATTTCAGCCAATGGGGCTGTAATTATATTTGAGGTCCCAACTCCTGTAGTGTTTTAGTGGTTGCTTGTCTTCCCTAGAAATAAATGAATCTGAGCCATTCAGTCAGCTCTGAGTCCTTACAGGGTTCAGATCTGGTTTACACCCATTGCATGTTCTTGCTCTTGTGTACCTCAGGCTTAAACTCACCTGTTTGCTGAGCCAGTGATGTCTCCTCCACTCAGTTCCTGGACTGCATTTGTCTCTGCACTGTCTTGATGTGCAAGCTTCCAAATTCTGACCTACACCAAACTTATGACTCAGGGAAGCCACTGGTCAGACAGGGTTTAAGTCTGTCAGCATGAATTCAAGCTACTTGCAATTCAAATGAAAGTGATGGTTACTTGAAAGCGAAATAATGTGTGACTATACCTTGGTTTGGTCCAGAAAAACCCCAAATAATTTATTTTGCTAAGCCAGACACAGATTGGAAGATAAAATTCCAGCCTCCTCCGCTGAGAATGAAGAGTTCAAGGTGTGTTACTCATCGTGTTGTTGCGAGTCAGATTGCAGACAACAAAATTATAATTTGTGTAGGTACCTGTGGAGTTTCAAAGGCAAATTGAAGAAGTTGATAGTGCTCTGAAAGGCAGAGTTATTTCCTGGAACTCTGTGTTTGTGCTTCCTGTATCAAATGAAGCAGATGAAACTCCTGCTTAGTCAAATGTCTCTGTCTACAGCTTCCTCGTGCTTTTAACAGCAATTGAACTGATTATTTCTGTGCTTTCTTTTTTTCCTCCTTGAAGGCAAATGAAATTATAGTCAGCTGTAGATCAGAGAAGCCAGGGGTCTGTCATTACAGCACGTGGGAGGGGGCAGAGAGCTGGAGCCTTGAGCTGGAGCCACCAGTGCTGCATCATCTCCACAGAGTTCATCTCCAGAAGAAAGGGTGGATGTCCTCTGGAGCAGGTTCTTGGGAGATGGTGGAGAAGCTGGGCTGAGCAGAGCAGGTAGGACCCCTGCATCCTGTGGGGGGGGTTTCCTCCTCCTACAGCTCAGAAAGCAATTCCATGGCTTAGTGTTGCACACATGGGAAGGAATTTCTCGTGGGAAGAAAAGGTCAGTGAAATCAGTTGCTGTGGATGTTATGCAGATTTTAACTTGGTAATGAGGAGAATGAAATACTTGTGGCTCACACTGGTGCCTTGTGTTGCTCTGGTTTCTTGATACTGCGTTAGAAATTATTAAATACTAAATTTATTTAAAATTATTGGGTAATCTTACTCTGAAGGATTATGAGCAGACATGGGTGTCACGCTCTAGCACTCTTAAAAATTGCATCAGGATAGTGCTGAGGATTTGCCCCAAACAAGATCAGTCTTAGACTCCTCTGAGTAAATTACTAATTTCTGTGTGTTGCCACGAGAGCCCATAGTTTGGCATGCTGGAGAGCAAAACTTTTTGCAATTGCTGATGTAGAAAATAGGAGAGACACCAAATTTATATGTAGGATAAAAATGGCTGTGCATGTAAATGATGGTGTATTCCATCTCCATAATGCACATTGTTCCCTGGAAATGTCTGCTGGAAGCTGGGAGGGTTCTGGGTTATTTATTCTGTGCTCCCCTGGAGACAGGGAGGGAAGGGGCTGATTTCTTCCCTCGCTCTTAGAAAAGGCTGCTCCTTGCTGCTCTTTTAATCCTTGCCTTACTTTATTTTATTCCCTGCCTCTGAGAACTTCTCTCGGATGGAGTGGCAGCTGCTGAATTGGTAGCTCCTCCGGGGAGTAGCAAGATAGCAGCGCTGAGATAAAGCTCACAGTGTCCCTGTGATTTGAACAAAACTGGCAAACACAAACAGGAGTTGTAGTTGCATTATCGAGGGAGGTTTGTGTAAAGCAATAGGCCCTGCATTAGCTTTCCTTTGCCAAGGTTGGATTTCCAGCCTCCTGGAGCTGGAACTCCTCTTGTAAAGAGAGTTTAAGACGGACAAGCAGCGTGCTGGGGTCTGTCCCCTGCCCAAAAGGAGCGTGTTGGCTGGGTGCAAGAGTGGCTGTGTGGGTGGGAGGAGGGTTCAGGTGACGTGCCACTCGTGGTGTGGCTGTGGATTAAGGTGGGATGAGCAGTGCCCCGGCTGCGTGCTGGCCGTCAGGCTGCTCCCAGGAGCTTCTGGGACAAGTATGCAGTTAATCACATCCATTAGCATGATTAAAATCCTGATTAGCCTGTGTCACTCACTCCCAGTTTCTTCCTACACTTCGCCCCTTTTTATCCGGGGTGTTTGCAAGTGTCAGCAGCAGCAGGGAGGCTGGGAATTATAAATGGATCCCAGGATTCTGGGCTTTGTGTTGGAACAAAGTTCCTCAGAAAGCTGCCCAGCTGCTGGCTGAAGAGAACATCTGACAAGTCAGCCCTTCACAGCTGGGGGAGCCTCAGCAGGACTCTGGGGAAT